CAGCTTTCTCAACATCTTGTACGGGCCTGTGCAGATTAAGTAAACTGAATTATTTCTTAATTACTGCTAGGAGTTTAAAAGATAAAGAAAAACTTGGACGGAAGCTCATCTGGTTGCAGTTCATGTGAAGAGCCAATTGACTAAATTATAATACTGAGACTTCATTATTCCACTGCCTGAAAGAGTCCTTACCATTTTTCTTGTAGCGGAGAGCGTTGAGGACCTGCTTCCGAGTCTCTCCGTGGGCTCCTGGTAGCAACATCCCAAGGATGGAAGCTACCCCGTGGGGCGAAAGCACCACATTTTCCAGGGGCTTGGCGCGGACTACTTGCTGAAACACCTGTATGCCAAGATCAGATCCCCGTTCACCGTAGGAGGGAGCCAGGGACAGCACACCTTTATGGCCATACAAGGTCACCAGTGCAATCAAGCACAATAATGAGAGGTGCTTCATTTTAAACTCACACCTAGTTAGAAACAAAGAACAGAATATCACAGACATTTGGTAAGGACCATACAGTCTCACCTGTTATTGTTATCCAGTAGACACACTGATAATTGGCAGGGCTGCCACTGAAGGATTATTTTCATTAGTGATTAATCTGTCAATCATTTTCTCAATTATTGGATCAGTTGTTTGGTCCATAAAATGATAGAAAAGTGTTTTAGTGTTTCCACGGTGATGTCCTCAAGTGTCTTGTCCACAAGCCAAAGATATTAAGTTTAGAACTGACAGGAAATGTTAGAATATGTTGGTGCTGTAGGGGCTTTAATGAAATTAGGGAGTGTACCTTTAAAACAATGAATGCTGTGCATGCTGTGTAATCTTTGATTAATGATCGACTATTGTATATTCTATCCTCCACATTTAGAACTTCAAACAGTTCAAAGCATTATCTTGAAAAAAGGACTCAAAATGAAATGATTATCAAAATAGTTGGCAATTACTTTAATAGTTGACAGCTAAATGACTAACCAGTGTACTGGTGCAGCTCTGGTTATCGGTAGCAGCATGTATTGTTTACTCAGGAGTATCATTGATGTTTTATCATTATGAGAACTACCATCTGAACAGCAACAGATTTATGAAAACATCAATCTACAACTGTAGGCATTCCTTAAAAACACTTCCAGCAGAGCTGGATATCCCTTTCATATGACTCATCCTGGTTAACCACAGCTATCACACGCACCTTTGCTTGCACTTAGGCGACAGAACCATTTATCCAGACCTGCAGGGTCTGACTAACTCTTACTCACACGGTTTAAATATTACTGTCTAACCATAATCAGCCTACTGAAACTGGGCTGTTCTTTTATTTCAGTTTTAGACTAAATTCAATCTTTCAGACCATTTTAGGAGAGTGATTCAGCCTGCACCCCACTCACTGGAGCAGTATGAATGTAGCCACAAGAGCCAGCCAGAATGCCTGCTGGCTCGCTTGCTTAGGAGCGACATATTACTATGTAATCTATGGCCTTACTGGTATTCAGAGCTGTATTTGTCCACAGTTTCAGTGTGAACAGTGCAAAGGTTTTGGTTTTCCATTATGCTTTACTGTGATTAGATTCACAGTTAAATCATGTGAGACTGTTCTCACAATCTTGAAATAGCCCTGACATGCAGTGTGTTTGTATGGCCAACCCAAAGTCTATTTACAAAAATCTGCTAATTTTATGGCCTTATTTGGACACAGTGATTTGAGAATAAAGGTAGTGTGACATAATCAGTCAGCTGTAGGTTTTAATAAAACTACTATGTTAAGCTACAACAGCCCGTAATGTAATGTAAGAGGCAAAGTCGCAGGAACTCCTTCCAGAATATAAAACATATTGTTAAATGATATGAGAGAAGTGGACGTACAGTGTGCCGAAAATTTAAAAATCTTGTTTGTTTTTTTTTGCCAAAAACGCTGCAGTAAAACAGCAAGATTGTATTAACAGTTTGTCATGTGTCTGTCATATGTACAGGAATGAAACAACGCTTGTCCACCCTGCTCCTCATACACTGAAGCCACTGCACCCAGTGCTGCAGGGAAAACAGCTCCACACTGGATGTTAGGCGCACTTTCCGCTTCAACTATTCAAATGTAAGTCACGTTAACATCACTCAAACGTACACAAATAACAAATAACACGTTCTGTGCTCCGTCTACCTTAAATATTCATAGTTCATTTCAGGTGTCAAACAAAACCCACCCGGCGGGAATGTTGTGCATGTTTTAATATCAGCTAACTTATATACTAATTACATTGAAATAGGAAGGAGCAACTTCTTGAGCTACACTGCTGACAACCAGGCGGTGCTAAACGTTGTGAAGCTACACATATCGTTGGGACCCGTTTAGGATAGCTCCGTTTGTTTAATGTAATGTTAAAAAAATACCGTTAAAAACGACAGTCCTTACCTATCACGAGGTGACTTCGACTTATCCCGCAGGTGAAACTGTAACCTCGTTAGTCCGCTTTCTACTGCGGTCCAAACGAGAAACAAAGGTCCGTCCGCACTGTAAATGACAACAACTGTTTATCCCAGTGAAAGTGAGAACTACTACTGACTCCACCGTTTGTTTCTGAGGAGACTTTATTGGACTGAACTCCGCCTTCAACCCAAACACACGAGCATGAAGCGAGTGTCTCTGTTAGCGTCAATCCCAGAATGAGCTTCCGGCAGACTTTCAAAATAAATTGAATTACCATATTTCTGTCCGTTAACACTGACACATACAGTTTCACAACCTTTGATAGCATAACGCGCATAATTTCACATTATGATACAATTATGTTGCTGTACTTTGCCGAGTTGCCGCTCATATTTTCTTTCATAGTTTCAACTGTCTGTTTACGTCCATGTGGCTACTTCCGGTATGTTTGGGCCAACTCTGGCTAACTTGACGAAGCTGACAATTTATAAAAAAGGTTTTTACAACAGGAAGTGACTGATGGGGATGTTTAGAAACATCTAAGAACAGTCATCCTAAGTTATGTTTTGTCATATTCAATGGAAAATTACTGCGGACGTTAAATGTTGATGCAATCACTTAAAAGACAAATTCAAAGCATTGACACTACTACAATTCTCAGATTAGAAAATAAAAATGTCTTGTTTCCTTTAAAATGACACTCCTGAACAGAGCAATTTTTAACAGAATATTAACTTGGAAGTTTGCTTAATAACAGGTCTTGTATACTATTTTATAGGGGAGTTTGGTCTTATCTAACTGTGATGTGATTTTATATTTACATAATCTCCATAAAAGTGAAAAAAAAGTGCACAGGTACATTACATTTTAAACAAGAACTCGTCCAACAACGACGCCCAATTCACCAAAGAACCACTTGATCCTACAGTTGGATTCCGACACAAAAACACACACCTTAAGGGTGAGGGCTCAATTACATCCCTTAATGCATCAAAAAGGGAATTATGATAGGTGCATTGAATCAACCAGAATATGAGATTATGAGGCAATTAAACTAAATCTCATAAATGTTTAATAACAAACCCTGGATTGGGCACCATAAGTAATAATAATTTCACATGTGTATTTGGCTGACATCGCCTAATAGATTAGTTTCACACAGTCCATGAGTGAATACCCAGGGGAGGATTTAAGAATTTCACTGCCACGCAATGGGTGCCATATGGGGCGATTCAGAGCAAAGGATTTTGTCTACATCTTTTGTGTGTGTGGTTTGTGGTGGAGGGGGGGTCTTCATGTCAGCTGAGATACAGAATAGGGACGTTTGAAAAAAACACAGTATGAGCGAAGGGGGGTCATTGTGTCCTGTTTTGGAAGAGGAATAACACACCCAGCTTTGTACTAATAGTCATACCATGCCAAGTCACATCTATTTTTCTACTGCAGATAGCGCTTTTAATAAAAACCATGGCAATATTAGGTCCAAATAAACAATTTCCAGAAGTTCTTAGTGTGCCCAATACGCCATCTCTGGTCCTCTCGAGATATCCTCATTCACCTCCTGTTGAGCAACCAAAAAACATTTATTTTATTCTTTCATCAAGACAATGACTAAAGCTTGTGCTTAACAAGGACCAGGTGTGCATGTTTTGCAACACGTATCCCATGCAGAACACAGACTGAATTTTTTTTGGGGGGGGGGGGTGGGGGGGGTAATCTCTCTGCTGAAAGTTGTCTTTGTGTCACTGCTGCCTGTTAAACAGATTTTCTGTTTTTTGAAGCATCAGCTATGAAATGGAAAGTGGCAGTCATCCGAGTTTGATTAACGTTATTGATAACTTTTGTTTCCTAAGTTCCATGAAATTTCCCAAAAAAAGTTACTGTGAAATTCTCAATAGGAAATGTATTGTCAAGAGTCCGCTACACAAAAATAGATAGGATTGTCAATACTGCAAATAATTCAACAAAAGAAGTGACATTGGAGATATCTAAAAGCAATGTTAATGAATTTTCAACATACTTTCTTGTCGTTGTTTGGTACACAACAAAAATGCTCTCCAGAAGAGTAGAAATTATGATAGTGTTCCTTAGTATTTCTGGATCTACTTCAGTTAGTGTTCAACTGAATAATTCAAATAATCAATGTAGTCCACTGACAGACAAGAATTTCATAAGTCCTCTTAAAAGTACATTTACCTATTCTATGACTATTCTAAACCATGTCTGAAAGCAAACCTACACTACTTCCTAGTTCATATATAGCACTACCCCAGAAACCAGCCATGTAGTGGTCAAATTACTCAATTTGTGTTCACTCACAATGTTATGTAAGATAGAATGTTAGAAATATGCAAAGAAACGGCAAAGAGAATAGCTTCCACACTTTAAAAAAAAAAAAACACTTTATTCCATCACTCAGATTTCTCCACCCATTAAAATACTGAATCTGGAAAGGCTTTTTGCAGAATCATACCATGGCATAAAAACAGTCTCACTCCAATGTCAATGAATCAGGACAAAAAGTAATTAGTTCTGCTTTGCAAAGCACGCTTGCCTGCGGGCCTGTCTTTCATTGCTTCAACACTCTGGAGAAAGCAAGAACGATGTGGTCACGGCCAGAGCTAAGCGGGGAAGATCCTTGCTCCTGGCAGGGTACATGTTGGCACAGTGGGCCTGTTCCTGTTCAGAGAAAACATAAATAAAAAGGATGTGGCAGAGAAAAACTGTAAAACTGAAGATTTTCTGAGTACAAGAACAATTAGCACCTAATAAAGTGAGAAATAACAAGTAAGTCCCATTGTCTGCTCTGAAAATCTGTTGCTTAGTTTCGTCAGTATAAAGCAAACCACAAACAAAAAAAAATCATCCTTCAGTTTACTCCCAACAGATTTTAGACCGGAAATACAAATTCAAAAAGTCCCTCAAGGCTTAATATGAACTAATGGTCAAAGGAGAGTTGGCACCAAGGCAACCTGCTATAACTGCGTACACAAGACAGCTGACTTTTTATGAAATGCATTTTGGCTTGATTTTGATACTCTAAAAAAATTCACACGGAGTTAAGCAGTAACACATAGCTCAAATTTTTTGAAAACAAGATTATATGTATCCTGTAAGTCCAAAACTGGTCCAGTTTACCTGATCCTAGATACGAATTTTGATCAGCTAATCTTTTCAAAATTAATTGGGATAAATGGAAAATGTGGGAGCTAGTTTATGTCCTTTAATTGATATTGAAGCTGGAAGAGTGACAGAGACGAGGGAGAGAGAGAGGGGGATGACCACAGGTTGGAGTCAGACCATGCCGCTGCATAACCTCAGCCATGGACACGGTTGCAGCTCTACCAAGTAGTGCCGTACCAGACCATCTCATAAATACAATTTTAAAATCGTAATCTAGAAGATATTATAGCGTAAACACAAACTTGCACAGTGCTTCCATTTAGGGTTCCCATTACGCTTTCTTTCTCACCTTTGAAATGAAAACACAGGCAGGTCGGGTGAAGTCCTTGGTGATCCCAAACATGCAGGGTCGATGACGTTGGAAGAACTATCTGCTGGCAGGCATGTCATAGCCCCCGTAATACTCGTTGTCTGGGCCCACGGCCCCGCCAGCTGCTCAGCACTGACGTTGTAGAAGTCTGGCATTGTTTCAACTTGATACCTAGATAGAAAACACAGATTATCCTATGCAACCCTAATAAAACAGAAGCAAAGAAAGAGAAGACCAGTTAATGAATGTGAAATAAGTAGTAGTAGTAATGTACCTGTATTAATGAGAGTTATTAGGCAGAAGGCAATATTTAGTGTACGCACTCAAGAGGAAACGGTGAAGGTTGGTTGGTAATCGGTGCTCTGTAAGAATCCAAATTCAGTTGCAGGCTGGTAGACCCACTGTCTCCCTGACAACACACACACACACACACACACCACACACACACACACGACAAACTTTACCACGCACAAATTCTGTTGGTTCATATAAATGCCAAGCAATCACAACACAGGCAGGTAAAGGCTAACAGTTAAAAGGCATTCCTCCCAAAAAAGTATTCCTCTTACAGTTGTTCAGCCCCAATTAAAGCGAAAGATGCAACGAAACCACATATAAAGGTGGGGGTGTCTGGTGGGAATTTAATGCAGACAACATCCAGATGGCTTTTTAAGACCACTTCCTGTTCCAATGATCCCCCTCCAGCCCTCCCCTCTTGAAACTGAAGCTGAACTGGAACCACAGCCCAGGGCAAAGGTAAACATGGAATATAGAGAACCCATTTTGGTTAAACGCTCAAAGTGTTACTCAATACTGATTGCCCCAACATGAGACAACATAGGAAGAACATAAGAAAATAAACGCACCCAGCCTTAGAAAGTGTAATTCCTCAGTACAATTTCAAAAATAAGACACATAAGATGTTTTAAAGTCTGATACGTTACCCCAAAAAAAGAAGAAGAATATATATATATTATAATATATATACTATTTATTATTATTTTATATATATATATAATATAGTATATATATATAGTATATATAATTATAGGTAGTATGCTGGATGTTCACATCATTCAGGGAGTTTTTGAATCATTAAGTGAGGTATTTTTTTAGTGAGCTACTTTGCCAGAATCCGCCTAGTCTCTTGTAATAACAGTTTTCTAAAAAAGGTATTTTTCGACAGACACTCCAAAAATGGATTGGCTACATTATGACTGTAAAACCACATCCCCATGCCCAACCGACTGTTTGTGGCTTTGTTATATTGTGCCTGAAACTGTTCCGCTTTGAGTCTCGTGCATTAATTGTTGAGTGTAAAATCACATCATTTAAGCCAGTTATTCTCTGTCATAATAGCAAAAACAACACCAACCCTGACAACCAAAAATGGACAATCCCAAAAAATGCACACAAAAAATAGCTGTTTCCAACATTGCCTT